GCACTTTACCCCTCCACAAATAGCCCTTTATTCTGGTTTGGCTCCCAGATTTGCTCACAAAAGGACATGTAATGTAGCAAGGCACTTTCACAGTAGGATTCTTAAAAGATCCCTCAGCAAAGTAGATAAGCAATTCTTGGTTTGAAAGTCATATATTGCTGGGCACAGGAGGCTTGGGATCCTCCCAGCGGCACGGGAAGCTGAGGCAGGAGGATCGTGAGTTCAAGCCAGCTTCAGCAACTTAGTGAAATTCTGTCTCAATAAGTTAAAAAAGGACTGGAGGTGTGGCTCAGTGGTTAAGCACCCCAGGTTCAATCCCTGGTACAAGAAAGAGAAGGGGGCTGTGTGAGTGTTGGATGGGGGAGGGGGGACCCATGCTTTGCCAAAAATGTCCAGACAAGTAAGAATTCCCTGGTAAGCATGTAAGTAGAATTCTGCTATCAAGAGCACTACAGTTGAAAAATATTGGGGGGTGTGGGGGAAGACACCTTAAGTAATGATCAGCTAAGGATGAGTAGTGTTAGCGTTCAAAGTTAGCTCCATATTACCTAGAAGTAGAAATAGCAGTGAAGACAATGTGATTTTGTGACTCAAAAATGAATGCTAATTTTCCCAAGATGACAAATGAAATTGTAGCAAAAGGTATATTTTATGCATCATATAATTTTTGTGTATTACTGAAAGGGTAAAGTTTCTAAGCTGCAAAGCCTAAGTTAAAATGTAAAAGAYCGGCCATTGTAAAGTTTCTAAGYTGCAAAGTCTGAATTAAAAAGTGAAGGACCAGGTATTGTTAAATTCCTCTGCTACACCCAGAACCTGAAATTCCTGAGGCAGTCAAGACAACGCCCTACTGGCCATTTAGCCTAGGGCCCTGTGCAGCTTGTCACATAGGCATACAGGGCCCGAACCAATCAGTTTGAATGTGTACCTCGCTTAGGAGTGACCAATCACCCCAGCCAGACCTGTTCCCGCCAATGAATGTGCTAATCATGTATGAGAGTTGTTGTTCAATTTTCCCACACCTCATGCTGATTTGTTCTGATGTATACAAAGCCCCCRCCCTCCCCAAAAAGTGTACTTAAGCACTGCTTAACCTCTGCTCTGGGCTGCTCTCTTCTTGAGTGAGCCTGGAGCCTCAGCACGCTGAATTGGATCCTCAATAAATCCCCTTCTGCAATTGCATGAGTCAGTCTCTTGGTGGTCTCTTCCTCCGACTTTTCGCCAGACCCTTACATTACTAGATGAATTTTATGTTTGAATACTGTTGCTAATCTAAAGGATATATTAAAATACTTGAAAATGAAAAAATGTTATATATTTAAATATTATAAATTTCTATAAATGTAATATTGATTGTGAACCCAAAGAAAATTTTGTTACACTTTTCAGAAATCATTCCAATATTGTTTAATTAATAAAGTGAGATGTAAGAATAATGGACCTCTTCCTATAGATGGAAGAGTTTTTAAGCACAATAAATGTAAATTAAACCTTTGCTGAGCTAGCTGAATCTTAAAACCATGAGGCTGCCAGGTTAAAAACAAAGAAGTCTAAAACAATGCCCTTCACAGTATAGGCTGCTCAAGATATAATTGGGCCCAAATTACCTTTTATCTAAGAGCTACTATGGACATGCCTATTTTAAAGTCTGTACTACTACAAATAAAATGCATAAGACAAGTGCTGTGATTACATGTCATGGGTAGGGTGGGGCAAAAGCTGGAGAAGATTGACATGGTGCAAAAAATGTCAAAAGAAAGGTCAAGCAGTTCAGCATTTAAGTTGCATTAGATATAGGGCTGTTTAATGGTATCATACAAGAAGTAGTACAACATCATGCTTCCACAAATTCCAAGCAAGAAATTACCCTTTCTAGCCAGATGTGGTAAGCTCACATCTGTAAACCCAGTAATTTGGGAGGCTGAGACCAGTCTTAGCAATTTAGCCAGACCCTGTCCAAAAAAAAAAAAAAAAAAAATGGTAAAGCGATTCCCAGTACCAAGAAAAACAAAAACAAAAAGGAAAGAGATTACCCTTTCTGTATCCAGAAACAGCAATATACCCACATAGGTATCTATTCACACTGATGATTATGTACAACTTAGATTTAAAAGAACAATTTAAGGTCTTTGCAAATAAGCTCCTTACCATTAATTAGCAGTCTTAATTATGTCAGCAATATTTGAKGGAAGTAACCTCCTTAAAATCCTATACAAAAAAATAAAAAAAAATTAGGAAGAGCTCAGAGCAATTAAGAAGCAAAAAATAATTTATCAATAAAAAAAGTAACAATGCAAGAAATAGATGTGAAAAATTTAAGCATTGTAAAAAAAATTGCAGGTAACGAAAAAGTAAGACTTGAAAATTCCATATACAAGATTGAGGGTTCATATAGTGACATGTATCATTGTCAGTAATAAACTCACATAACAATGGAAACAAATATACACTTTGAGAATGATCTCACTATATTACAACCATTTCAAAAGGAGTTATTCACTTATTTTTAATGAATATCTTTAACTCGAAGGGATAAGCTGAGTAGTTTGGTGTTTTACTCCCAAAATTCTTTTGAGGCTCCCAAAGACCACATAGGTACCTCTAATATCAGCCCCATAAAATCTTTACCTGGTCTTAGTATTTTCATAGAGAATAAAACTATAAATTGGCAATAACCCACAAACCCCCATTATTTCCTTGAGGGAATTTACAAATCTGTAAATTCTTGTAATGGTAACTCATTACAGGGTGAATTCCCTGGGGAAGTACACTCTCAGGTGAAAAGTGGTATCCCTGATGTTTTCTAAGGTTTTGCCAGGTGCTGTTTTCTAAGGCCAGGTGCTTCAACTTTCATATATTTCATATATATAATTTTTCCCCCCAGAGAATACCTAACATCTCCACTGAACTTGGCTTGGCTTTATTGTAAAACCCTAAGGGCCTGGACTGTGATTTCCTTATTGTAGCTTGCCATAAGCTTCTCACAACATGTTTTTATCTACCACTGAACATCTAGAATGTTTAAACCTGCCTAGTTATATGACTGCAGAGCCCATTCTTGCTTGGGGCCTTCACTGACAGCTGGAAGTCTTTCTTACAAAAGATTCCAAGCWGTATTCCCAGGTGGAATTTATTGCCTCCAGAACCTGAAGAGGACCATCAGTCTTTATACTTCTTTATGTTTGGAAGGTTCAGCATACAATAATTTGTCTTTTCCTCTGGATGTGGTATTCTGACATGCCCCTAAGTTTAGAGTTCTAGTAAGAACTCTAAAGATGTTATTGATATAGCAGATCCCTGAATCTTTCACCCTCTGGGAAACTTGTTTTCCATCTTTTTTTTTTTT